AATCAATCTCCACCACACATTCAAATAATAAAATATTCTACACATAAACCAATATAGTTTCTTTCAATTTTAATCACACATTCTCAAAAAAATACTATTAAAAACATCATTCTTTCTCCCATAATGGGAGACAAACAAGCTCTTAGTGTAACTTTTACAACAAATTAGTGCAATTTTCACACTAATTTGATGTGACATTTCCAATGGTTACAACAAATTTTACACAAGATGAACAGTATTTTCTTTATTTTCATATTATTTATATTTTCAAATACTAATTTATTTTAGAAATTTGCGTAAAGTATGATCGATATGAGGATCAAAACATCAAAAATGAAACGATGGAGATAATTTATGTAATGAAGGCAATCGATGGGAATGTATCCTTTTTGAGATTTCTTATATAGAGACTAGAGTGAAAGATAAATTAATATTAGTTTAAGTCAAATCGGTTCAAATTAACTTGCAATTATTTTTGTTTCAATCATGCTACATGTATATCATTTTTTACATTATTATTTACACTGTGTCATGTGGCAACACACATTGGACAGTTTAAATAAAAAAAACAAGTTTTCCGTTCATATTTTTTTGAAAACAGTGGAATGTCAAAAACAATGTAAAGCAAAGAATGTACATTTAACATTGTTTTTTAGTTTAGATAGATAGCATTATTTTTTCCTTAAGTAAATATTTATTTTCTAAATATATTTAAACACATTACTTTCATACTATTATAAGTAGAAATTATTTTTCTAAAGTAAAGTAACAATTACTTTTAGTTCTTGGTTTAAATAAAATTTATTTTTTTACTAAATTTTGATAAAACTAATGGAAGGGGTGCAATTAAAAAGTTGTAAATATTCTTGTTAAAATTTAATGGACCTTCCCACGTGTACATCAAATTTGTATATAATAAGTTACGTAATATCATGTATTACTCTATCATTTGTTAGTACCAATTAATTTTTTCATTCAATCTTTTCCCTCACCTCATTTTATGTAATCTCTTGTATACCATTTTTTTTCTTACAAACAGCATAATCCAAATTTAATTGTTGGGTTAAAAGGTTTTTTTTTTTTTAACTTTCCATCCACTGACAGAATTTGCCTAAATGGCGTCCTTTAAAACCCTAATTCGCAGCGTTGTTTCTCTAATGTATAGTATCATACATATATGTGTGCGTGTGCGTGTGCGTGTGCGTATATGTAATTAGGTATATGTAGTTGTTACTGTATTCAGATTTCTCTGTGGTATTTGTTTTATTATGTTCTCGTTTTTAATTTCTTTTGCATTTCTACGAGGGCAATTTGGGATTTTAGAAGATTAGTTGCAGTGATGTTTTTAAAGTACTGATTACTGATTAGTGATATCGAAGCGTATGTATTGTACATTGATGCAAACAATTGTTGTTTCTCTAATTCTCTGATTGTGCGTCCGAATATTGCGTGTTAGGACTTGAAACTCTAATTTGTTCATATTATTTCTGATTCTAATTCAAATATTTACATTTTTTTGAACCATTCTTTGATTTTTTCCTCTATTTTCTACAAGTTAAAAAGCAAAGAAATTCAACTTGGAGCTGTAGCTCTATTTCATTGGCTATTTTGCTTCTTGCGAAATTTGTGTATGGTTTTCTTGTATCTGTTCCCTGTAGGATATGATTCTTCGGCAAGCAAGTCTATGGATATCGACCAAACAACATCTGGAACTAGTGTAATCTTGGATTCTTGGATTGGTATAATCCATCACACAAAAAATTCACTCTTTCCCATTACTCGCTCCCATCCTCTATCTTGTCTGGTTTAAAAACTTTAGAACTCTCGTTGAGTAATAAACATCTAATTTTGTATAAAGTTATCTAGGAAGTTATGAGAACATTTTGAGTTAATTTTTTTTGCACATGATCTGTTTCTAAAGCTGAATGATATGAACACACTTGTTAAACTGAGTTTCTGGAGGGCCATGCATTTTGTCAATAAACATAGCTGGGCTCGTTTCTATGGTCATTTAGGGGTTGTTCTTTTCGTGTTTCAGTTTTTAGTTTTGAATTCATTTTGGGTTTTGTGTTTTGAGTGACTATTTTGAGATTGTTGAAAATGCGTTCTTTTTATTATTTTGAAAAATTATTTTCAAAAATAAAAAAAGAGGTTTTGGCTTGGTTTTAATTGAAAACAGCCAAAACGACCTCTTTGGGGTTTTTTGTTTTATTTGTAAATTTTAAACTCGTTTTTGGAAATTCATTTATGAAAATAGGTAAGTAAACGTGTTTTCATTATTTTCGAAAATTGAAAACTGAAAATGGCCTGAAAATAGCAGAGAGAACATGCCCTTAGCTTTTAATTAATGCCATTTTCTTATTCTGGAAAGCAAAGCTACAAAGATTGGCCAAAGAGTTATTGCTCGGTAAATTGTGAACGGCTGGGCAAGAATTGCACCTTAATGACACTTGCCCTTAGCAAGTTGTGTTGAAATCTAGTCCACATCCAGTGGGTTGCTATCCTCAAAGTTCAGCACCCATATAAAATGGATAGTTCGATCCATTTAGGTGCTCAAAAGTGTTGTCTCCACATTTCCAATTTTTTATTGCAATTGCATATAGGAAATGCTTAGTTGAAATGTTGCTTTAGCCTTTTCTTTTGCTTCTTTGTTGTTGAACATAAGATAGGCCATGGGTCATAAGGACACGGTAGTGCACTTGGTAGATATTTCTAACTTTCTTTGAGGACTTACAGAAATATGTGAGGGTATTACATTTTTATAAGATCACAGGCACAAAACTTAGTTGGATTTTACTTTGGATTTGAAAATTTTAAAGACGATTTGTAATTTTCTGATTATTGTGGTAATCTTATATGAAACTATAATAATGACAGGAAATAGATGAGATGTTATATTTTAATAAGATCACAGGCACTAAATTTTATGTGTAGCATCTGCATTTGGTTTGTATGTATATCTTGTAACTATTCAAACCTCAACAAATTCATGTTTTATAAGTACACTACTCATTTGTTAAACAAACTGTGCATGAACCTGTACTCTGATAAATGTTTTTGAATGTTTGAATTCATGTTATGGTGCCCTCAAGCTTGCAATTAGTCCTTGCTAATATAGGCACATGATATTGAAGTCACTGAGAGCACAACTACATATTGAACATATAAACAAAAATGTAGCCTTATATCTTTATGGACATTTGTTTTGGATGAGTCTGCTTAAAATCTATTAGCAAGGTTTAAGATGTTGTCCTGGGAAGCTGCTAACGCATAAAATTCGAGTAATACCATCCGTTGATTTGAGAATTGTCAGTACCATGCCTAGGGAACCCATCTTGAAGGAAGAGAGGGGTTCACAAACACTGGGCCACTGCTTGGTAATGGAGACAATGGTAAGGACGATGATGAGAAGAAATAGGACGGGGATGATGAAGATAATGCTGACACGACGGATTTATTATACTCTATGTGATCGGATAAAACCTGCATGTCATTTGCATAAAGCCTTTTGGAAGGGAAATTTGAGAAGCCAGCAATTGATTCGAGTACTTTCTCTTGTGAAGCAGATGAATAGGTAGCCCCACATTCATTCACATTCATAATTTGTTTTGGCAGCAGAGATAGCATTGCGGGATTCTGATTTAAGAGCTTATCTGTTGCAAAAAATGGATATTCATCACAGCTGAAAATGGAATTATCTTCATGTTGAAGAATTTGCTGTTGATGATCAATGAATTGAGGCTGGTATCCCAATGGATATGCTGGTGCAGATGAACCAGAAGGTGACCTGTTGAACAAATAGGCGCTGTGACTCACCTGATCGGCTCTAAAATCACCAAAAACAAACCCTTGCGGTGGTGGTGGTGAGGCAGGGATGTACACTTTATCCAATTCAAGATATTGGGGGAAATTCGAGTTTGGATTTGAGAAATTTGAAAATGTGGCCAGATCACAGAGGTTTTGAGAAATGTTTTTCTTCTTGATGGCTGAATTCCAGAAATTCTTAACTTCATTATCTGTTCTCCCAGGAAGGTGCTTGGCTATTTGAGCCCACCTGAAAACGATAAAATATTATTTTGCTCGAAAATGTAAATACTGAGATATTTACAGAACTATCATTGGATAATGGGATGGGATTTACCTATTGCCTAGAATTTTTTGGAGTTCAATTATGAGTTCTGCTTCTTCTGCAGAGAAATTCCCTTTCTTCAAATCAGGTCTGAGGTAATTTATCCATCTTAGTCTGCAACTCTTGCCACATCTTTGTAACCCTGCACACACAAGATAAACACACATGCGGTGTCTATATATTTATTCATATACGCGCATATTTGTATTGGCCAATGGATGCATTCACTATTTAGTATTTACACACACACTTTTTTGGACAGGACCTGTGGTGGATGGGATGGGGAAGGGGTTGCTGCGGAGTACCTGACCTCAATGAATGGAAATGGATTTGTTTTTATGTTTCAGCTTCCTCTTGGGGGAGAAAAAGACGCACATATACAAATACCTGCTAATCTTGGAACTGAGCTCCAACTGCGAAGGCCGTAGGTGGAAATGTAGTTTTTGAGTTTCTCATCTTCCTCTGGTGACCACAGCCCCCTCTTCACTTTTTGTTTGTTGCAGCAAGAATGTTGTCCCATTTTCTCCCTCTTTCTAAAATGCAGGTGTACAGCAATGGAATGAGATCATATATACACATGCAGACAATATATATGTGTCTGTGAGTAAGAAAGAAACAAGAATTGGATGATAAAAGCCCCAGAGGACAACAGATGATGCCCACTGAGAGTACACTTGGATTATTAATTTAATGTGAAGATCTGTATACCTTTGGCTGACTTATGAAGCACTTGTTTTATGAGTTGTGAAATCTGCCATAGTTCTGTGGAGTTTGGGGGTTGTCTTATAATGGGTCCTTCTACAAGGGTTTACAGGTCATGAGATTGGCCAATAGTAGTCCATGAGTAAGTCATGCAGACTTCGTTGGTCCCACTTTCTCGACTTATCTCCAAAGTTCAATTGATGATTATATACTCACAGGACATATTTGGTATGCACTGCTGAACAAGGAGTTGCAAGCACGATGAACCTGGGCAAATTTGATCTCCTCGCAAACGCTTTTATTTGGTGGATAACATCGCCGAAGTGTATAATCAGAGGAACTCGGAGGTTTAAGTCTCAAAATATGCATCTTGAAGTAGGTCTCCAAATGACACTAGAATTGTCAATACCTATCATTTTTTCTACCTCGATATGGTCTTAGTACAGTATTTTTCACGTTAGCGACAAGTCAAAAGCTTGGAATTTTGATATATTATTTTCTCTTTCACACAAGGAAATTTGAATTATCCCACTGATTTTTTGTATGGTAATCTTTGATGAAGTAAGGAAAAAAGTCCTAAAAGTCTAATCTTTTTTATGTCATTATACTAATTCTTTTCCCTTTTTGATCTTCCATATGAAAAATATGAAATTGTTGTATACAGTGAAAATAATGAATCTTTCTCCACGTTCTCTGCTTGATAAAGAAATTTGTATTCGTCAAATTCATTGGATACTTTTCCGCGTTCACTTGTCTTCTTGAATTACACATTTCTACACATCAATGGTGTTTCATCGTCAATAATGAAAAGTCAATTAAAAATTGCTTGTTTTATTTGTTTCTAGAAGTGTTTTTTTATTGTCCTATATGCAATCAAGTGCACGCATAATCCCTGCCAACTCTTGTGACCCTATTTTCTACAATTTTGTGGGCCTAATTAATGGGTTCTTATTTTTAGAAAATATTCCGTGAGTTGTGCATTTCATCCTCATAGATTGTAACATAGTTTTCATTTTCTTTTCTTATTCTCTGCACTGTATTCTTTACAAGATTTAGGCCCGTAAAAGCCTCAGACAGAGACCAGTACTCATGTCAGGGAACTGCTTGTTTTGCTAACACAAAGAAGAAGAGCTACCTTGCAAAATGCCAAGTTCTAGCATTGGAAGTTCTTGTAACCGTGTAAAGCTAAAACTATTCGTATGAACAAAGTTATCAACACATTGAGTTCTAAAATTTTTCTGTTCAAATACTTGTTGAATCATTTCATTTAAAACTTAAGTTCTTCGATACGTACATAAAGTTGGTATTTTATTCTTAATTTTATATGGACGCAGATGCCATAATGTTTATTTTGTTAATTTTCGGTTTATTAAATTCGGATTTCTTTTTGTCTCAATAGATGTTAACATGGAGAGGATTAACGATAGGACAACCCACGAGGTTTTGTGTGTCCATAATTGTAATATTGGTACTTTGATTAAGAGACGTTTTGGGTCTTGATATTTTTGTTATGTAGGCCCGTTTGCTAAATTTGTGAATTTGGATTTGACGTGATCGAAATTGCTCATGTGAATGTTAAAAATGAAAGCAACGGAGAGAAATGTTGAGTAGTCCGATAGTTGCGTACCACTTTATCATTCACACTGACTGTTTTGGTTATGTGGGATCCAAATTCACAAATGTAACTAAGTTAACGACCCAAATTCTCAATTTTTAAGTTTATAGAATCATAATCACACCACGTGAAAGGTTCAACAACATACCCCTAATTTACCGAAAGCAAAAACAAAGGGCACAAACAAGATTCTTGATTTTATAGTTGCACATGGAGCCATTAATGAGAACAAGCTCCATTGCTTTATTTGTTGAACCATCACGGACGCATAACTTGGTTCAATTTTGGTTTTTTCTCTGTTTATGCTCAACCAACTACACCAATGTACAAACAGAGATACTCTTGTCTTTTCTCAAGGGAATTAATGAATTTGGTATCGATCTGTTTCATTCAAATTCTTTTCGTAGTTTCTAAAATATAACTGTAAGTCCACGATGGGCTTGTGGCATCTGATCGTATGATAAAAAATGTCACTTGCGATAATAAGAGGTGTATATCATATCGTGTCAAACCAGCACTACTGCCTGTAGAGACAAGAAGCTGTTGAATTCATTAGAACTACTCCCCGTTTAGGAAGCTCAATCTTTTATCTGTCATCTTGCAGCATCGGACGGTAGAGATAGTTGCATAAACCGACATTATAGTGTCAAGACTCCTCGAGCCCGCCCCCTTGAAACCGGACTCGGGTTTCTACGATAGTGTAAATCCTCAACTGAATGTCATACTCTAGTACAAGTATGCGACAAATAATTGCAAGGTTTCTGCTTGGCCTTTATTGACTGTGTTAGACTCATATAGTTAGGCTTTGTACCATGTCCCTCGGCTAGAATATTTCCTGATCCTCGAGTCTCAGAAGTGGTTGTGGATGAATTCGATGACGTGCTCTCGTAGTGCAAAAGTGCCTAACATGGTTCAGATGACGAGCGAGTAAGTTGACAAGTTTTCGGACCCTTTGAGGATATTCGGGTGGAATTTGAAAAGGATCCAAAGGTCTGAAATATTCCAACTGACATAGTATCCCACGGCTTGGTTCGCATCCAATTCCACCGTTCTGACCAGTTGAGTCCTAACTGTTCTTGTCCACCTTATTTGGAGTAACCATCTTGTTTGCTCTTGAATACAAGATCAGGCTTCTTCGAGATTGCTGGAGTAAGACATCACATTGTATACAGACGAGTTCGAGAACAAATTTAAAAGAATAAACTGTCACGAATTTAATTAATTACCTGTTTAAAGAGGGCATGAGCATATGTATTAGCCCTTTCCCTCTTGATAGACCCTTCTTGTTTCATTAGTAATTTCGACCTCACTTCTTCAACTGTTGAGTAATTGTCACACCATCCATTCTACCATTTACAGTCACAAAAATCTCATTTCAATTATTATCCAATTTGATAGTTGGATTGTATAACATATAGAGAAGATATTTATATGCACCATAAGTTGATTCAAGATCTCATAAATCAACTTCTGGCCTGAAAGAAATTATCTTTCTCGATAAAGTCTACTTATTAGGCTAAAACTGTATTGCTTATGTTGGTGACCCGGCCTTAAACACGACCATGGACATACTAAGGGAATAGAAATAACTCAAAACATAAGATTTCCAAAACCTTGAATGAAGGTCGGCTTGTAAACACATATAGTCAGATGGGCTACGAGGCTCCGATCTTCGAGAAACATAATCATTATCCAACTGAAAAGGTGCTCCCTGATGATGTCAACACCTCCCCAACAACCACTCCGAAGAAGACAAATGGCACCTATGAAGTGAGCATCATATCATCTACCAATCAAATGAGAGTAATGATTGCCTGATAACAAGTCATCATCACTTATGTAACAGACGGTATCCTAGTAGAAATGATGACGCGAACGGTTGAACTCAATAGTGAATTGAAACCTATCAAACAGAGTAGTGGCACACAAA